ATCCCGATCTGAAAGGAATCGTTTATAATTTCTCTCCGTAAGAAAGGTAGCAAGTCTAACACAAAGAATTATAAGGGTAGGTATGTCTAAGATATCCGCTTTTCCAAAAATGTTTGAGTAAATTTAAATTACAAACATGAAACATCTCTGCAAGTCACTTATATATATCTCCAGCTCAGCACGGATTTATAAGGCGACGATCAACTACTACAAATGTATCAGAGCTTGCCTCTTTAAAGCCTCGTTGAAGGCTTTTAAGGTAACTTTAAAACGGATGTTATGTACGCCGATTTCAGCAAGGCATTCGACTCTGTAAACCACTCCCTCCCAGCCCAAAAACTGGACCTATTAGGCTCCAATCTAGATACCTTTGTTCCAGTTCTCTTCAAAAACTACCTCCCTGTTGATTTAATAGGATCTTTCGGATCCAATAGGAACTATATTGTTTTGTTCACAGCGCTTTGTGGATCGAACTATTCATGGCATGAACCGTTGAGGGTCTTATGCTCGGATTATATAGTTCCCTCTACAATATTAAAAGTATCTATTACTAATTATGAACCTCTTCGTAAATCACGAATACAAACAAACCTTTCGCGCAATATTAGATTATATACACAGCTTTTGAACCACCACGATAGTATTTTTGTATAATTTTCTAACACCAATCGACACGAGCCTCTTTTTGAGCGATTTTTAAATTGTGTGGGGCAAAACGCGAGCGCAGCTATTTTACCACGAGGTGAGCCCAGAAAATATTATTATTCGTCGTCATATAAGTGCCCAAAAATACCTCAGTCTCACGGTTGTGACCTGATGATGTTGCTCTATCATTTCGCGCAAAGCATCGCATCGAGCACAAAAATTAATTTAAAACGACCTTCCCGAAATTCGTGCCTGAACAATGGACGTGCACAATGGAATTCGCGATACCAGTCCTTTACATCGGCAAAGCATGTTGCTTCATCAATAAAAGTTGCACTAAGTTCTTGGCTTAAAAATCCACCTCAAATACGAGTATGGCAGAAAATGACGACACAGAAATTTTCGTACATAAACTCGTGCAGACTGAGTACCGGGTATTGTGGTGTATGCACATTTCCATGATGTCGCTGATTTGGTAGTGAGCACCTCAACACTTTCAAAACTGATTTTGATATTTAGACATCTGCTTGGACATCTGGAATATTGGTCATCAGGTGGAACGTGCAAATAGACGGAGTGCAATAGTTAGCATACGAGCATTCTGTGCTCTAAAGAGCGCTCTCTTTCTATGCCCTCTCCTGATAAGTGCACCCTTGAGAGAGATGCGCGGTAAGCTTTGTCCATGTCCCATTCACAATCACCACCTCTCCACATTTAGCTATAAATCAATAAGAGAACGAGAGAGAGAGCGAGCGTGCATCGCTTGTATCGAGTGGTTTATAGGGTATGCTCGGCCGACCCCTCACCAGACTACGGGTATATCTTTGTGGGCTACCTTCTGCCCTTCATTGTATTATTCATGTGCCAAGGGTCGCTATCCCATCCAATGTTTATGGAGGACCCTAGTTGGCCAACTTGTTGGCATCATTCAGTTTTGGCGATGTTGATTTTGCGAACAGGAAAAGATGAGGTGAGGAGTCCGCACCAGACGACGTGCTCAAGACATTAGCTGAGCTCCTTGCCGCCCTACACACCCACACTCCTCTCGTCTGCTGTGGCTGTGACGACACATGCCATTTCCGCCGCCGCTGCACGTACGCGGCACTTGGCCTGACTACTTGTTACACAGATAGGAGGCCCTCCGTTGGCACGTCGAGGCTTGGCCCTAGCCCCAAAAAGCTGCCCACGTGCGCGGAAACATTGTTATTGTTCCATCCTCTCTCCCACACACACACACACACACACACACACTCGGTCTCTCTCTCTCTCTCTCCATTTCTTACTGTTGTTGTTGTTGGCAGCTCGTTTCTGGCATGACATTTTTGTATTTAAGTTTTATGCCGCCATTTTCTACCGCTTTGCGTGTTGCACGTACTCCCCTCTCCACCCCTCCCCTCACCATACCACTCACTCCAGCCACTTGCCTCTGCCTGAGTTTGCGGCTTTTCCTGTGTTCGCCACTTCCCCACTTCCTGCCTCAGTCCGGCATTTCTGTTGGTGTGTGTGCTTTGCACTTAATACCATTTTCACTTTCTTTAATGTTGCTCAATTTTGTGCATCATTAATCTTAAGCGATTTTCAGATTTTCCGTTGACTGACACGCCGAGGCATCTCAATGGGGCTTACCCCGCTTACTCTACACCCCTGAACACCCTCTCCCAACTTTTTGGTTGTCGGCTGTCTCAGCTGCTGTCCCTGATAATTATGCTACAAAATATGTAATTACAGTTTCAATTTAATTCGCCGGAAAATTCTCTGAAAAATGTTCATAATTCCGCCACGGCACTGCCCAGATATTGTCACCCATAATATGGACTTCACTGTGCAGCAGTCACCTAATCCATTATAATCTACACCTGCACTCCATCCTTAAGAATATTTCCATATTTATAGATCTAATTATAAGTAAACCCAGTTGAGTTATCTCAAATAATACTGCAACTATAGCAAGAACGCATTGATTCAGCTTCAGCTAACATTATAGACTGAATTGAAATACATTTTCCGGATGCCCATTAAAAAATTTATGTCCACTCATTCGCTGTGGATAGGGCCATGATTGATGAATCTATCGATTGCTAATCGATATCTGTACCATGTACATATATTCTGAACTCTTTCAAATCATTTTCGATTGCTACGATTGTGATTGCCCCAAGTATTAGCTCGGGGTAGGATTTGGTACGATTTGGTCACAATTTTCGGACTGTCAGTGTCCAAAGTCCTCTCCTCCCCTATCACCCCTTACCATCCTTATGAATGCAAGCATTGTTGCTGCTATTTCATTTCATATAATATTTCTTTTTCTCTCTCGTTTACTTTTTTGTGTGTTTTTGGTGTTTTTTTGCACCATTTTCTTTTAACAACTTTTTGCTGCTGTTTTATTTGAAGTTTGCAATAAAATAAAAGCCACACAAGACCCCAGACGCCATATGGAGCGGGGGGATTAGTGGGGTTTGTTGGTTGGCAGGGGGCAGGGGCAGGGGCAGGGTAAGAGCCATGGCCAGAGCCATAGCAGCAGAGAGCATGGCCAGCCAGAGATTCTCGCCAGCAACGGCCCTCGGCCACAGACACGAAACGCGAAACTATAAAGCAAAAAATCCCCATTCATATAATTTACGTGTGTGCCCCTGGGGATGGGTGCGTTGGTCGTGACTGGCCCCTACTAGAGTGATGGCAGCGAGGGTGATATGCGATAGGAGTCTGTCCCCAAGCAAACATCAATCAGAGGCCTCTCTCTGGTCGTCAATCAGGACCCTAAAATGTCGGAGAATGCTTATCAGAAAGGGCAAGACATTATTGGAGTGATTGTACATACAAATGCACATACATTTAATGATTCCTTCATACTGATACTGAAACGAGTGACCCTATTCAATCCGTTATTTGTATTTGTTATTATATAGACTAAAGTACCTGTCTGTATTCGATAGGTGGTATAGCTGTCCAACGATAGTTTCTACAGCAATCATGAACCATCTCTAGAACAGTGCCAACTCTGCTGCTGCTTCGGCTGGTTGCATTTTATTTTACCATTTCGTTTCGTCCACGTTTGGATTTATGAATTTCGACTCGCACGACCCATTCCTTCCTCTTCCTCTTCCCTGTCCACCGCAACCCCCTTTCCACCCTGCCCCTCCCCACGCCATGAATCTGCAGCCATTCATTGTTGGACCCGCACATATGCGGTTTTATATATTGACACTTAAAATTTATGGGACTTAAAAATCTACAAAACGCTGCCCCGTTTTGTCCTCCAAAGTTGGTTTAGAGCTTTCAGGGTGGCATGGGTGGGTGTGAGGTATGCCCACTGTACGTATGCCCATCACAAAAGCTTGGTCAGCCTCGTGGCACCACGGTCGAAAATGGCACACGGTGGGCAGTCAGACGGGGAGATGCAAGAAGTCGGTGACAGGAATTTTCAAGTGGAAAAACTAAGCAAAGCAGCAAATCGTGTGTGAAATTAATAGGGCTACCCCTGCTGCCAGGGTTGTCATCATGTGCAACTTGTTGATGTTGAATAACAGAGAGAGCACAAAAGATTCCAACAGGAAGTCCCCAAAATTTGTGGCAAAGTCATCTTCCCTCAGTGCCTGAAAATGTACCTAGATTTAAAAAGATCAGTTACAACTTTATGCAACTTTATCGTGATCACTGCCAGTAGATGATTGCAATTGCAATAGGGATGACCTTTCAAAAAGTACCGCCAGACCCGCAATTGAGGCTTTCAGTTGGAATATCTTGAGCAGAGGAATTACTTTACTTTGCCAGAACTGCAACCCAAAACTTCAGCGAAAAGTTCTCTCACTTTCGTTGAGTTGTTTCTTCGCTAATTAAATGCAACTTAAAGTCAATGAAAGATAAATTAATCATTAATGGCCTGAATTGTGTGGAAGATTGGCGGATGCCTCCATGCGGCTGTAAGTTATCGGAAAGCCAGAAGTCTAGGGGCACTTTCTATTTCGGTTTCATTGCTGATTTCATTGAGCTAATCAGCTTATTGAACTTGAGTCTCAGTGGCTGGCAGGGGCTGGCAGTGGCCCAACCACGAAGGACCGATGGAAAAACGAAAAGTTGGCAATGGGAGATTTTTGGTTCTAAGTAGCTGCAGCTGCTGCTCGAAACTCCACAAAATTAAATTCAATTTGCCGGGACAGTGCAGATGTGGCCGGGCAGTAGCCGCATCTGTGGCAGCTCCAAGAATTCAATTAATTACACAATGAGCCACCGCCCAAGGAGGTTCTTGCGCAATGTTTTCCTTGGAGCTTGAAGCATGCAGCTTGGAGGGTAATCCCTTGACTTTCCACCCGGCAATTATTATACGTTCTGATGGCATGTCTTCGATTGTCACTTACCTGTGTGGGCTGCGTGGACAGCAAATCGATTGTCTCCTCGTGTTGCTTATGAGCGAATGCCGCAGTGGGCGTCAGTGTCTGCTGTTGCTGCTTCTGTTGGAACTGCTGCTGGTAGTGCTGCTGCTGCTGGTATTCATATTGCTGCTGCATTTGATATTGCAATTGCTGGTACTTCAAGTGCTGCTGCTGCTGCTGCTGTCCCTGTCCTTGTCCTTGTCCCTGTCCTTGCACTAGAGAGCAGCAATAGAGAAGCATAGCCAGCAATTCGAACGTATTGGCAGCATTGCGTGCTGTTTTATTTATTGCTGACGACAGCATGTTGCTGCCGGTCGTTTCCACCTTCTTTTCGCCTTTTCAATATCTCTCTAGATGTGTGTGTGGCTGTGTGGCTATATGTATCCGAGTATATGTATATCCGTTTTCACTCCTTTCCTATTTGGGTGAGTGGCTGGGAAGTATGCAACACTTTGCCACACTGCTGTTGTTGGCGCGTGTTTACTTGTCTTTGGTTTCGTTCTGTTTCCTTTCCGTTCTCTCTTTTTTGGTCGGCTACCAGTTGCAAGTAGAAAGTTTTTGGGTTTGTGATGCTGCAAGGAAAACATTTCAAATAAGTAACTTCAACTTGCTCTCCAGTGTGGGACATATATAAACAAATATAAAATATAGAGAGATTCGTAGAACAAAAAGAGAAAGCAAAATGGTTTCTTATTGCTTGCCCCTCGAAGAAATGCTGTCATGCCCCATGCCACCATGACCATCCTATAACTTCTCCCACAGATTGTGCACCAATTCTCTTTCTCTTGACTTTGTTGTTTTTTAAGATCTCGCAAGATACAATTATTTTATGGGAGGATAGTCGGTAATTTCCCTCGAGGGAGGAAGATAAGCTGAGCTGGATATTGCCATCTGTATCTGTTCATACAAATATAGTAACCACAATAAACTCCATTAGAAACTCATTTATTATTGTTCAAGCCAAATGCATAATTAATCAGCCAGAAGTATGGGCATATGGGCATTTCCTAGATGTCACACGGGACATTCGTACACTCAACTTTAGACTCAACTTATAAGTCTTAATTAGCCCAATAATATATAATATATAATCGAGGCCAAAAATGAAAACACCGATTTCAGCAAGTGACTTGTTCAACAATGTTCTGATTGTACAAACATGTGTAGCTTTAACAAATTGTATACCTACATATGTACATATATACAAATCTCGTGTCACGGTGTTTGTTTATTAACTTCTCCCAAACGGCGCGACCGATTTTAATGACATTTTTTTGCATTTCGTAGTTGTTGGAATAAGCTATTAACTATTTTTTAGCTTCCTATCACCACCCACCAGTTTTTAATTGGGATTTTAGTATTTTTGTGTCTCATTCTATATGTAAACAAAATCATTCCTGCGTTGATGGATTTTTGTGTTTGTGTGTGACTGGGAAAGGTTTGCATAGCGAATTTAAGCCGTAAGAAAATCAATTTTTTCAATTTGTCTGTGTGTGATATAAACATTTGAAATAGTAAAGTGGTAAGAAAAACGGAAAAACTTCCAACAAGATAGCGAAAATGTGTGTGTGAGCATGTCGCAGCGATTATTAAAAAATTACAGCACTTGTTACTCCCAATGTCCCAGTACTGATTCATGAACAAAAACTCAACCTGCTCCAGGTGGAACTGGCAAAACATTTCTCATATTGCTAATTATTGCCGATCATGTATGTCATCGCACTGACTGTTGAATCATCTGGCATTGCATCAGTTTTTTTGGACAAAGGAAGAACAACTCATTCTGCATATAAGATGCATCTGAATATTCAAAAAGAAAAAGCAGAAGCAGTGTGCAACACAGAAAAACATTTGTCCATGGCAACAGTGTTGAAGCAATGCCAAATTATCATTTGGACACATTTGGGCACTTCAAGCCACTATGGCACACAAACATTCTCTTGAGGCGTTGAAAAGAACACTTATATATGTATGTATGTATATAAAAAACGCACGCCCCGCGCGGGCGCGGGGGGGGGCGGGCTCCCCCTGCGTTTTGTTTTTCGTTCTTTAAGGGGGGGGGGGGGGGGGTTGGGGGGGGGGGGGGGGGGGGGGGCGGGGGGGCGGCCCGGGTTAACAACCACATTTATTCGGTGAGACTCTGCTACTCCTTTCAGGTAATTTTAGACAAACGATTTCCGTCATTTCCGAAAAATGCATCCATGAAATCATCGTCACTGGGGCGTAATGTTGAAAAAATCCAGCTAAAAAATAAAAATGCGCGTCGAAATGCCAGAAGATCGGCTGGCACATTTTGAAAAAAAATATTAGATATAGGCTACGGAGAAGTTTCTGTCCATGAAAATACTGGCTGCATGAAAATGCCTACCGATTTCTGCACATTTTGAATTTCACACACGCATTGCGCATATTCCCAAATGTGCAAATATAATACAGACGAACTGTTTGCGCTGAGAACGAAACTGATAATTATCCACCAGAGTTTTTGAACTCACTGGATTTTCCAGACATGCCACTACACCTTCTGAAAGTTGGATCTCCGGTTAGTTTACTTCGAAATATGAACCCAGCAAAAATCAGAGACGGAAATGTTTTGCTACCACGCACTCCAATAATTCCAACAGACGTACTAATTAAATTCGAACGCGTTTAATTTCCCAACAGATTGGCATTCAAAACAATATATTTCTTACACGGACTATTATACGGGGCATAGACGGCAATAGACGGACGGGCTTAAAATTGTTCTTCGAAATATAAATTGATAATTTAAATTTTAGAACAACGATTGCCGAATCTAATAGGTTGAAGCACTAAATATCTAAAATATTTTATGGTGCGGCTGTGGCCCTTAGTCCCTAGTTCCCTACCTCTAGACAACTCGTTTCAACTGAATTGTACATTTAAGCCTATTATAAAAAAAGAAATGTTTGCTTGTGCAAGTTAATGGAATTTTCAAGCAGTGCTATACGAAAAGAAAGGCGGGAGGCTGGCTGAGAAGGCGAACGTATAATTTTAATATTCCATGGAAATAATTGCAGCTTCGGAATGGAAATATCAGTAACGAACGAAAAAAAATTAAGGCGAAAGAAAATGGCAAATAATGTGTGCAATATCTTCATTTTCCAACCCCTCTTTTCTCCCCTTCTCTCTCCACTCACTATTCCACCACTCTTTCACACTGCCTCTCTCCGCATCTTTCTTTCTACCTCAATCAAAGAAATTTCTGCGTGCAAAAATCAAAAATATAATTTTCAATAATTAATGCAGAAAGCAAAAAGAAATGAAACAATACATAAAACAATTTTTGTATTTTCACTTGCAATCAAAAGTAGAATAAGATTAAAGAGAGAGGTAGTGGAGAAGAAACGGAGGAGGAAAGAGAATGGGAAGAGGCTGCAAAACAAAAAGATGAAAAAAACGCAGAGACAGTAGAGGAGTGGAAAATAGATTTTCAATTGCTGTGTGTGTGCGTGAAAAATCAATTTCACTTTTCAATTAAATGTCGAGGAAAAGCGCGTATGATCATAGCGAAATATTGCTGTTAAACACGTTCGAAAGCAATTAAAACGAGAAGGAATGTGTGAGTCGCTTCTGTGGACGCGACTCTACTTTTATACCCGTACTCAATCAGATGAGGTGGGGGAAGCAACTGAAAATTAATTTCTTTATTCTGGCTATAATTATGATTTTAAAATATACTTGTAGCAGTGTGATATCACATGAGACCGGAAACAAAATTTGGTACTCAAGCTCTTATAGTCTCTGAGATCTAGGCGCTCATCAAGACGGACAGACAGACAGACAGACGGACTGACAGACATCCACTTTTACCACAAATACAATATACCCATTAACTCTTTTTGAGTACGGGTATAAAAACACCACGAAGAGGGTATGATGATTATGATGATGATGTTGAAACAATTTTAATGCCAGAAAATAGAATAAAATCTGGATCCCTATAACATAGAAGCAGCTGCCATGATAACGATGGATGCGTATGGATCCTAAGAGTAGCCTTTGCTTCATATTTTGTTGATGCTTGATGATTATGATGTTTGCAGTGAGCATGGGATGAGTTGCTTGTGTTGCTGTGGTTTGATGTGGGAGGGGATTCGCTGGTTGGGATGCTGCTTGAGGTGGGGGTGGGGAAGTTTTTAATATATATGCAATAAAAGCGTCTGCGAAAATTGCACTTTGATGTGGCTGACTGAGGAAAGGCAGTGGTGGAAGCGTGAGGGGTGAGCAGTTTTCATAATGGATGGCAACAGAGCTGGTAGCAATTACATTGCATCTCCATTCCCCTGTGTCTCCTTTCCAACCGACTCCACTTTAGCTGGATAATCATAAATTTTACTTGCGATAATTTCAACGCTCGCCGCCAACAGCAAACAGCAGACAGCCGGCAGTGGAAAAAAGTGGGAATATTGTACATATTCGAAATAAAGATACCCTCTACCATTCTTGTCCATCCTCAAACACCATCTTACAATGCACATCGGACGGAAAGTCTGATCCAGATTTGGCAATCTAGATATGGTCATTTTCTACGATATTGCGTTTTTTCGTTTTTGTTTTCTCGTATCTTCAAAATTGTGGATGCCACAGATTTGCGTCCTTTGTGGGGCGGAAGCAAGCGAAAGTCTGGATACAAAACTTGGTTACTTTAGCTCTTATAGTCTATGAGAACTGGGCGCTCATCGAGACGGATGGCCGGACATGGCTATAACGACTCGGCTACTCGTATACTTAATAGGGTCGGAAACGTTTCCTTCTGTGCGTTACCCACATCAACTTCGACCACAAATCTAATAATCCCTAAACTCTTCGACTACCGCGTATAATAAATGTTAATGACTATTTTACAAATCATTCTGTGTATAAATATTATTATTATAATGGCAATAATAGTTAATTATAATTATTAATTTATGAAAAATAAATGTTTTTTTTTGAATGTGGTTGTCGAGCGGGTCGAGCCGGTCATGCGTGAAAATTCCCACATCTATTTCGAAATTCACTAATACTAATCCACGGAAAATATTCCAAGCTTTAACGTTCTATTTTTTTTTTTTAGTTAATGATAAACAAAAACGGCTTTCCGACCAATTAGATATGAGAGTGGTAGAGAAGGGGGAAAAATATATTTTGAATAAATCTGAAAAATAGTTTTTGGCTTATAAATTCGAATTGTGACGATTTTTGTTGGATCGATAGATAATATAATAATATTTATTTATGTATAAAATTAACAATAGGCAGAACTCCAAATTATGGACAATAGAAGAGTAAATTAGATCTACATAGACGTCACTAAAATTGGCTACATACGCAGGAGAGCTGCTGAAGAGATAGCCGGATACGACTGAATGGAATAGGCTGTTGATGCCTCTTGCAATCTTCGCAAGAATAAAAAAGGTACCCCTCCCCCCACATTGTACCACGTGCAGTGCGTAAAAAATGAAAGCATTTTGTTGCTGGATTTAAATGAATGCAAATACTGGTATCCTGTACAAGCGCATACGCACGCACACACGGATGAACGCACATACACATACATACATACATA